GAACCCACCATATGACCCGGATAGAGTTTTCATGTCAGATTTTTCTTCTTGTGTTTAAGAATTGGGTCAGCTGTAAATGAACATTTGCGTAGTTAATCTTCAAGTTAGTTCAAAAAACGGTGGCCACGAAAATTAATCTAGTTAAATTGAAATTTATAGAGAGATCACAAATAGTAAAATCTGTAAAGGGAAATATAACATGGAATTCTTTTTCTATTTGATTTTTTGGTCAATAGATCCAAAACGTTCAGGTAAGCCTATGTTTTTTCGAGCAAGTCAACTTTCGGGAAAGTAGAAAAGGAGAAATCTTCAGTCGATCATAGTAAAATTTGAGTTACGATCTAGTCGTTGATCAGTTAATTATTTTGCTAAATAATTTTCCAGAGCACTTATAAAGTCAAAATTTTATTTCAAGAAGGGAGGTTCAACCCTCTTATACCCAAAATGACTGCTACAAGCAACACACAGAGGTTCATCGCAGCACAAAGTAATTTTTTTATTGTCCGAGGTCTCATTACTTTATAATAAGGCAAATAAATAGGCAATCCCCAAAGTACCATAAAATATCAATAAACTTTGTAGTAAAATGAACTTGATTCTGTACTACTAATGAATGTGTATTAGAAAGACTAGTTAACTAATGAAAATCTATTTTCGCATGAGGCAAACGTACTGAAAGGAGTTAGGACTTTCTCCAGAAAGTAGAAGAAAAGCTATACTTTTAAACAAATCTTGAAGTGCGAGGCGTATTAAGTAAAGTTCTTAATTCAATACCCTCCATTTCTAACTTGGTATAAAAACTAATAGGGATTGTATTACACACTCACAAATCCACAAGGGAGTAACAAGAACGGCATCCTGCGTTAAACTGTGTAAAAATAGTGGTGGTTCAGTGTTTCAGTTTTTTTTCTGTTACAAATAATTGGACAGAGTTCAATAATTAGATTTGTATTCATCATGGAAAACTGTTGTGACCAACCCAATTACGAACGCTCAATGTGAAATATAAAGTTTAAAACGTGGTGCTTAATAATCATCCAACAAACAAACGCAGCAGTGATCAATTAGAAAATTTCTATAATTAACTAGTGGCCTAAAGAGCTCGTGAACTGTATTTTGTTGTGGAGGGTAATTGCTATGGTTAAGTCCCACATTTCATTAAATTTAATTTAGTTTGGAATGTCAGTGTTAAATGTTAATTCACTCAATGCATTAACTGAAATAATTAAATATCTACACAAGAGCAATTGAATGAACCAAAGCTTCGATACGAAATTGAGGGCAATTGGTATCCTTTATATAGCTCGGTCCCAGTTGAACGCCAATGCATGAAAATAATTCTCGTAAATAGGTATAATACCAACAAGTCTATCCACTCCCGCTTTATAACAATTACCCTAACGAAGTAGGTAGTTAATAATTCGACTTTCTCCGTTGGCTTGCGAAGCGTGAAAATTTGCAGCATAGTCGAAATTGAAATCTCGTGTCGGAAAACTTATCTCTATAGGTACTGTGAAATGTAGCAAATTATAGTTTCAGGCACGCGTGAAAAGCCAGCAAAACTAATTCGGGCGTTAGGATTTGGACCAGTGAAATAAATGTGGAATAAATCTAGACTGGCAATGCGCATTACAAATTTAAGCGATATTTGCATTCTTCCATTGTAGTTTAATATACCTACTTTAATATACACAGCGTCTGTTTCGAGGAGGGGCACTTGGGGACGCAGTATAAATTAAAACTTGGAACTAGAATCGGTTATTGCAGAAACATGCGTTTGCCTGGAAATTCGCAACCTCTCTAAGTTTGATTGTGGCGGTTAGTTTTGATTAATTTTTGCTCGTAGTATGAGTTTTGGTTTGCTTTGTATTCGTTGGCTTTCGGAATTTCCAGGATGCGAAATCTTTCTCGTAGAGGTAAGATGGCGAAATTGTAATTGGCTTGTTACCTAAAGTCGTTGCGCAATGGGAATTGGTTAAAAATTGAGGCATCCGTTTGGTTTGGCTTGCAGAAAGCAGATTCTTGATGCGGCTTGGGGAATTAGATCAATTTTATTCCATCGATTTATGTGGTTTGGAGTAGATAAGGCCAATTGCGATACCAATTTTAGCTCTAGTTACTACGACTTCACCCATGTCTATAAAATTTGAACAAATAAATCCCAATTAAGAGGTACCGTTACAGTGTGGATGGCTAGGCTGCTCTATAAATACTTCTTATGGTGAAAACTGCTTCAACTTGCTCAGTTATTTTTTCTAATATCACAGGTAGAACCTAGCTCTACATCTAACATCTTGTATTCTTTATTTATTTCACAGACACAATGAGTCCCTTATCGCCAGTGACTAATCTTGTACGGACTTGATTCTTCATTAATGCTTTCTTCACGCCTCTTTCACATATGTATACTTTACGGTTCGGTTCTTCCATTCTGGACGCCTCCGTCATATCTCTTTTAGTTATTTTTAAATTTCCCCGATAACCTTCGATGGTCTTTCTTCTTGTCTACCTCTTCCAGACTCCTTTCCGTCATCCATCCTTCAAACATTCGAATTCCTCTTTCTCCATTTCTGTTTCATACAGGGTTCAAGTTTCCACTGCGCTTCCTACCTCGAGCTTCTTTTTCATTTTTTCACACGTTTTTTCGGATGCGGACAATTACGAATTCTAACTTTGAATCGAAAAAATACTGCAAAACTCACGGTACCCGCGTGAGCACTTTTCTGTCCAAAAACAATACCCGAAATAAAAACTTGGTTATGTATCTCTCGAAAATGTAAATATACTTTGAGCTGCATGGTAGACATTTCCGCGGTCCAAAACCGAATCTCGATCTGAGCTCTTAGCTAAAGAGCTCCACCGCGGCTTGACCCGTAATGCCTTCAAAAATCTCTTCCGATTAATCCCTACCTGTTCTTTGTTAATTAAGTAACGCCTCTTTTCAAAATTGCATCATTTTTTAAGAGAAAATTTGATTGGTTATGCCCTTTGATTTACACGGGAGTCCACAGTCCTAAATAAGTCAATATCTTACACAAAGTTTAAAATTGCAAGCTTGATTTTCCCATTGGCGTTTTAGAATACGCGGAACTAATTAAGCTACTGTTGGATCTGACGATTTCCGAAAGTCATAAAAAGGTTAACATGCTATAGAATTTAAATGACGCCCTAAAAAACGATCGTTAAATTTTAATTGAAAACTCCGAAGTTCTCTACAAATCTACATTTACAAAATTTTGAAATTACCAAGTGTATAACTTCGAGCATCCTGTTCACTCTCTGCTATCAATTTATCACCAAGTGCACCCCTAAAAATTTCAGTTTAATAAAAATTCAAAAATATGACATAATTACCGTTACTTTTGCCTCGCACGTTCGAATTCCTTACGCCTCTTTCCGTTACCCTTAGCTCTTCACTTCACTTTCCTCCAAGTCCTCTTTACGTGTCCATATTTTACGTTTCCTCCAAACTTCTTCCATGACTCCGCTTTTTCCTACATCAGTACCGTTCGCTTTTGTGCTTTCGTTACAAATTCACTCGCTTTTTTTTACGTCTTCGCGTTTCCTTCGTATGTCTTTTATCCCCTCTTCCTTCTCTAGCGTACATTTCCTTTATTCACCATTTGGGTCTTCTTCCCTCACGTTTCTCTTACAGACCGACGATTTTGTACAGACATCTGGGGTCTGTCAATGGTACCGTAACATTGCGCGCGGCGATACTCGATTGTTGACATAAAATTTGTCAAAGATATATAGGAAAAGTTACCCTACGACCAAGTGTGTGAAATTCGTGTGAGAAACTGCGGCATTTCAAATTCAACCCCTATGTTCACTTTTAATGAGACAGGTCAATCATTAACGGAAAACTCCAGGGAACTGGCGGTTGGTCACTGGTGAATAATCTAAAACAGAATTACGACAAACAGAAAAGGTAGAGATTTTCCAAAGAGGGAACGGAAACTACCGATATCTAACGTGAAACAAAACAAGGGAAAGCAAACCTCCTTTATAATTACCGGAATGAAAATATCAAGCGCTCACCTTGAAATTAAACGGCGCGGTATAGTGCAAAATGTAACGTTAACGTTGACAGGAAGAAGCAAAAACGGAAATGTATTCCCTCAAATCATGCTTTTACCTTATATAGAATTCCCAAAATGGGAAAACCGAAGACTGGATTTTCCAACCGGCCACCGGCGTACTCGGATGATAAGGTCCAAACATTAAAAATTCTTTAATTAATTGCTTGATCCTATGTTAACCTAAAAATCTGGAACCAGTCTTAAAATTCATGCTAATTAAGCGCGTTTCATTTGACACCAAACCGATGCCAATGGGACACCGTTTGCTGCAACATATTTGAATAGATACCGGCAATTGGCGGAGTTGAAGTTCCGAAATTCGGTAGTTCATTTAACACCGATCGCCTCCCCTGGGATCAAGCGAAAGGCCAACTTCATGAGGTTTATCTACGTGTAAGCGAGAGACTTTGCGGATTTGTATCCTAGTTTTAAATTACCATTGAGCAACAAAAAACGGTCAATCAATTATTAACGGATCTGAAATTATACTAAGTATATTAATTTTCGGATACTGTAAAGCTCGTTTAAATATCTCTACGGGAACGGTTACAAACGGCAAATTAGTTACAAAATCGTGATTTCCTTATCGGTAGCTAAAACGGTGCTACAAATTAAGGTCATTGCCTTTGCCTTCTATTTCCGACTTCTAGAAAAGGGATACATAGATCGAAAACTACAATTTCTTGTAAGGAAGCGTCCCTTTAAGTTCGTAGAAGTACCGGGTGTTCATTAAAGCTGGTGTCTTCCATTAATGCACGGTGCGCTCAGTTCAGAAGAGTGCCCGCCATCAAACAAATTAATTAAAAAGCAACCCAGAAATGGAAAAGTACAACGTTCGCCAATGAAGTCGATGTGTTTTATATAATAGTAATCAATCTGGTGATTTGATTTACATTAATCTGTTTATTTATTTTCCAGAAATGGACGGCGTTCATAAGCTGTTAACCCATGAAGATTGTACGAAAATTATACAAGCCAAATTGGGTACAAACGATGTCAAGGTGCTATCACATAGAATTAAGCCATTCTCGGACGAAGTTAAGGGACTTATGGGTCAGCATTATCGGGTTGAAATCGACTACGAAGAAGAAATTTCAAAAACTGAACAATTCTTCATGAAGATACTAAACGGAAGTTTGAAAACGTTGTTCGATATGTGTATGTCTGCTAACGCTTACGAAAAGGAAGAGTTCATTTACGTTACGTATTTAACAGAGTTAAAGAAGTTTAATATAGAGTTGGACTGCTTACCGCGTTGCTTCCTTTGTAGGCCTTACGTAACAGTGCTGGAGGATCTTTCTGTGAAAGGTTACTCGGAAGTTCCCAACGACAATATGGATCTCGACACTTGCAAGATAGCTTTAGAAAGCATTGCCAAACTCCACGGATCGGGAATTTTATACGAAGCGTATAAGACTCAAGTTCAGGGCAGCCGATACCGTTTGATCGATAATTACCCCAGCGTGCTCAGGAACGTTTTCCTTAGCAAGGATGACAATATACCCAAGGTGTGGTTTAGGAAATCGTTAGAAGGCGTATACGAGCTAATACGCATTCTTCCCGAGAACCACATGAAAAACGAGATTTATGAAGCTAAATTAAGGGAGTACGTAAGTCGGCTGGACGTGATAAGTGCAAGCTTTGATAATCACCTGTGCACGGTTCTGCACGGAGATCTTTGGCAAAACAATTTTCTGTTTAAGTACTACGATAGAAAACCGTGCCATAACGTTTTGCTCGATTTCCAGTTGATAGCGTATGGACCGCCGAGTTCAGATGTTTTGCATTTCATATTCCATAACACCAGAAAATCCTTTCGTGATGTAAATATGCAGATCTTAATTGACTATTATTACGAGTGTGTTAAACGCTATTTATGTCAACATCATTTTCCCGATGTCCCCACGAAAGATCAGATTTTATTGTTAACCAAAGATGTACAGGTGCTAGTAAAACTTTTGTGTCTCCTAGATCGCGCTGTAACAATAATACCATGTGACGTACCAGCATCGACTTTCGATAATGATGAAGAGTTCAGAAAGTATTTATTTGACGAGAGAGCGACCTATCTGGTTAATTCCTACCGAGCGGATGATGCATTTAGGGAAATCATTGAAGAAGACCTGTTAGAGCTTAGGAATTTATTATGTAGTGGGTGTTAGAGGTTTTTAAAGAAATTTTCCATTTCAGTTCTGTACACCTACTCATTTAATTGAAGCACGTAAATTTTTCTTATCAAAGACAGTATTATTACTTGTTTTATGGAATCTTGTATTCAATTTTACATAAAGTTATTAATTAAGGAAACATGCTTTCAACTGCCATTGCCACCAATGATAAGGCATTTTAGTTGTAGAAGTTGTCACTTGCATACTTGTGAGTGTGCCATGGTGGATGCATAAATCCAAAACTGCCTCGCGGCGATTATTCTTTTGGTTAATTAGAATTTAAGTTAGTTGTATCACGATCAACACAAAACAATAAACGTTTTAATGGTAGAGGGGTGAAATAATTGGTCGAATACAAAAGACACCCCTATTTCCGCAGTGAGTGTCATTGCGGGGCAGAAGTAATTTTATACAGAAGGGGATAACTGAAAGTAACTGCTGTTAAGATTTCTTTTGACCATACAATGACAGAACTGTTAGAATCATTGTGCAGCATGAAACCACCTTAGAGATTTTTGGGAGAATTCATCACTCGATATACATGCCATAATACGGACACTAATACGAATACACTTGACACCAATAAAATATAGTTCCTGTCCCTTCCTGACCTTCCGGGGTACACAAGCACAACCAGACCTATCTTGAAATCACTTAAAAGGAAGGACCAGAAGCAGAAGTGCTGTATTGTAACGCTTGGTCAGCCCTCGTACCATAACGCTGGCCACACTAGAAGTGAAACCATCACATCATGCTCACGACTGCCTTTACTACTTATACGCTATACCCAATGGTAAAAATCTTGCCATTTAGGTGTCTGTCCTGTGAAGGTCTCTGTGCATTTATCGTATAGTAATTGTACTGTACCTAACTCCTAGGTTCTACGCTAACACGGAAATAAAATAAACACGGCAACGTCAACAAATTTATGAGACAAAATCAATAAAATAAGGCCGAAATAAAAACAGGCACTCAGGGCCAGAATAGACAAACCACGCCAAAAACGATCCAGGGCCGGCTCAAGGCAAAAGTTACACGTAAGCGTGCACTAAAATTTGCGCCTCTCTAATGGGAATTTTTGGCAACATGTTTTTAAAAATACAGGGTGTTAATTATTGCCATGCAGATATTTTAGGGGATGATAGCACTCGTCAAAATAAGAAAAAAATGCAAATAGGTATGTGCGTGGTGTAAAGGGCGTCATTTTCGTTATACAGGGCGATAAAGTTTCAATTTTTCTCTCGTATTTTCGTTGTCTCCCTTATGTTCTGGGATAATTGTTTCAAATTTGATACATCAATTATTTTTTAGAATCTCTACAATATCAAAATAGATAGTCGCGATATACATGGTTTTGCATTTTCCTTGTCACCCTGTATAGCGAAAACGACGCCTTTTAGACCATGCATATTGTTGCATTTTTTTCTTATTTTGACGAGGTCTATCACCCCCTGAAATATGTATCAGCATGACATTAATTAACAATCTGTATAAAGGTTCATATTTACAACATTTCTTACCGACAAACTTCGTACCGCCTATCCGTCAATTCAGCGGAGTTGAATATTAAGTTATTTGTAGCTTTAAAAATGTGTTCTCGCATTTTTTTGAAAAGCAAAGTTGTACAAACATGCTACAGAGTTTTCCGAAGAGAAAACGCGTCTGCTATTTACCTACAAATATCCATCCCGTGTACGGATTTTTACGTCCGTGGTGTAATTTTTGGGCCCCTTCCTGTTTGCGACGTAAGCGGCGGGTTACACCGCTTACGCCTAAAGCCGGCCATGAGCGATTCATTGAAACCAATTAATTAAAGAAATCTTATAACTGAACTGATAAATAATGCAAAAACACATATACATAAAAGGATGATACTTCGTAACTTCACTTCTTTGACTGCACTGAATCTCTATGTAGACAGCGTTGGCTTTGTTTGAATTACAGCTGTAGAATTTGTTATTTGATGGTGGAAAAACTCCCTCTAACGGATACTGGAAAATGTTTCACATAATGGCTTGAACGATAACACTCCGACTACCGGCTGGCGTGTAACCAAATACGCTCATCTACCGCTGACTGAGAACACCAAATGCCTCCACCATCAAAAAAGCCACGATTAAGGTCTACCACCAACAAACCTCGTTTAAAGTCCGGTTCGTTTATTAAAAACTCTCTTCCGCTACCAACTGCGTCTTGCAATAAATTAAACACCTGAGTTTTCTCATCGACGACACCCGCTTATGTACAAACTTAGGTAGCTCACGCATCGATAACGGAACTTCTTGTCGCAATGACCGGAGATAACAGTTTGACCAAAGAACTTAATCTTTTAACACGTAATTTCTTTACATCTAATGAAAAAATCAATAATGGCTTCAAATTGAAATAACATGATCGAAAATGTGTTCATTCCGAATTAACGACCCGCATTTAACGTAAAACATATATAGAATTAAACACATGCAGGGTGACCCATCATTACTGTAGGTGCTGAAATCAAATAAAACGGCCGCATGACGTACTTATAGTTTACCAACAGTATATTAGAATAAGCAACTTGTTTGGAAACCGCAATGGAATCATTTTTTTAAGTCACAGGAATCTTTGCTACTATTTCGAAAGAAAGACGATGGAAAAAAAGTTGCTGTCTTTCTAAATCTTGTGAGAGAAGAAGGATTAGAAATATCTAATACCTTTCAATTTACTACTGGTCGATACAGAAAGTACTATAAATACAGTGTGTCCAAGATAAGAATTAACAATATGGGGAAATCGGAAATCATAAGAAAAACAGACGGTTAAATTTGAAGTTTTCCATTTCCATAATCCCCATTATGTCCATTCTTATGTTGGACACACTGTATAATTAAAAGAAAAATTTATTGTGGGCCGAGGTTTAACGACTCAGAAGCTATTGTCAGCAATTGCAGTATAATAATAGAAGAGGTAGACGCTCAAACAATTGGAAAACTATAAGGGATCATCATCCACCTCTGTTGATCAGAGTACAATGTACATCGTACAAAAGTGACTAGTCGTGTGGATGTTGTAAGTCGGTAGGTAATATATGGTAATTGAAACTGAGATGACAGTCGGGAGAATTAGATGTTGATCCGAACACCTTTCAAAAACCCTAAATTTGCTGTGGCTAGCACAGATACCACCCGCACACCTACGCATGCGCGATTCTGTACCAAATTTGGTTCAGTTTCAGAAACGAGAGTACAGACCGACCGACAGACTGACATAATCGAGATTTTGTTTGATTCGGATTCCTGGTCTTCAAAACGTGTAATTCCGTAAAAAAGTGGGGGGCCACCCTCATTCCAATACCTCCTACCTCCCTTACTAACGTGCGGGTGGTACCAAGTCGTAGTTAAACAATCACAGACGCTTAGGTCTTATTGAAAGTCGCATTTTGTTCACGAAAAAATTCAAATAAAAAAGTCAGTGGAAGTTAGTTTTTTACTTTTGTGCGTAAACAACAACTTGATTTACGCCTTCGAGAATTTGGCGGCCGAGGTTCATTTTTAATTACACAATGTAGCTTATTTACAAACAATTACAGTTAGGCCCGAAGATGGGTTCAACCCGAAATCGATCGCCATAGAAAAAATAAAACATTAGTTCGCCGACCAATGTCAGAGTTTTATTATTCCACAAGCTTCATTATCCTAAAAACGTCAATTCACCGAAAGGTCATTTTGTACCGCAGTGGGTCTCCGAGATTCTGCAGTAACACCACGAAAGCGATCCAGTTTCCAATTTTTCTGGGGGGGTCTTTTTCAAGGGAAGTCGTATTATTCGTAACGTAACATTGATTCCAGCGAGAACTGTAAAATTCCTTTAAATTTTTGTATTTACAGCGGATGGTTATTTGACTTAAAGAAACACCGACATATCTTCGTCCGCCCGTCCCTCTGTCTTTTCACGTATTGAACTGCGTTTAATCGAAAGCTGTCAATGAACTGGAGGTGATTTTTAATGTATTCATTTATAAAATTATTATTCGGAAAGTTGCTGTTGATAAATACAACATAAATTTTAAAATTCTAAAACATGGTTAACTCGTACAGTCAATTTTAGGAAGTCCATTCATTTAATGTCCAAATTGAGTCGGACGACACTTCGATGAGGAACTTGAAATCACGCAATTCTCGTAAGAGTAATCAAATATTAGCAAATCTGAAGATTGTTTCAGTTCAATTAATCAATACTTGAGGATATAGTGAAAAGAACCAGTCGAGATTTATGTTCTGCTTAGTATAACATCGACTTGCTAGTCAATGTCAGTAGTAATACTTACACTAAATAGAAATAGCAACTTTCCGATTCCAGATCGTCGTCGACAATTCGCCTGTAATTCCTTCATTTCGGTATTGCATCTGGAAAGGCAACGTTTTATGTTACTTTTATCTATATTTTATTCCCTTTAAATTGACAATTTTCAGGAAAGTTGAACAGGGAGTCGTGAGAATTTTCATAACGGCCCTTTTATTGCCTTCCCTTCTTAATCAATCAAACAGTCAGAATTAATTTAATCTCCGGGAAAATACGTTCCGTAAGTGTACTGCATTTAATAAAAGCAGAATAAAGAAAAAATAAAGGAAGGACGCAATTCCTTTTTAAATACAGTAAACATTAATTAAGTGATCTCTCTCGTGTATTGAAAGAAAATCTTTAATAATACAGGATTAATTTGCACGATAATGTAAATATCCTCGTAGTTGAAAAGCTGAATTCCTTTCATGGGGGCTATTTCTCATTTGATGCTCGAGCATATACCTAATTAATTGCAGAGTGAGGACACTGGAATACTTTAACTGTGTGTTTGTGGTTATTTCCACGTCCTTCGAATACCAAAGAGTGGACGAGTGGTTTTTAAACACGGTCCTGAATTTGTAAATTCGTTAAAAACTGAATGCCCCGGTTAGGCGTGGAATATGGCGTGATTGGTTCAGATTACAGGAAAGATTTTGTTAATTTTGCCGTTGGGCTTGCAGCATGGATTTTATGAGTAAGCGACAGGAAATTACTCCACGTTGAGTTGATTTATCATCGTCAAGGAATCTGATTGGTTGTGTAAAATTGGTGGAAACGTAGAGTTGTTCTGAGAAGAACGTCGGGAATACGCGTTGATCTGCGAGCGCAGCAAGGCCAAAGAACTGTAGATTGGCCCATGAGGTGCTATATTATGTGTTAAAAATGCACGTTGAGCCTCGAGCGAAGTGGAGTCAACCCCCTGTAAAATATCGAGGAGTGTGTTTTATTTCTAACAAGAGAATTCGCGCTTAGAAGTGGGACATGGTTAAGGTTTTTTTTTTACACAG